CCTTTAATAACAGCACACTTCTGTTTTCAGCATTTCTACATTAAATCTCTCTGCTTTGTTTAAAGGCTCAAAGTCTGGTTCACACTTCATGTGTTTTCCAATTCTGAGAGTAAATTAAGTTTGAAATTGTTATTTTTTTCCTTATGTGTACTATGAGAAATAGCATTTACCCACTTTACAGGGTAGTTTCAGGATTAGATAATGTTTTGAAAGCACAATGACAATGTAAAACACAAGTGTTAAGTAATAATAAACATTACTATGTACATGTAACTGCACAGCTAAATCTGTTTGTACTTTAATTTTAAAACTGAAATATTTTTTCTTGATTACAAAATCTCTTACATTTCATTTACAATCTTTCTTTTCATTGTTAAATTGCTATCTGTCTGTGATACACAGAAGAGATGCTGTTTTTTTGCAGGTCTAGTAGTGGACCAAGAGGCACTGCTGGAAGCTCTTCATACTGGTATTATTAAGGCGGCAGCTTTAGATGTCACCTACCCTGAACCACTGCCCAGGTAGAGAGCAGTATTTATCTATCAAATATTTTAAATGTAGAGGACACAAAATAAGGTCAGCAGGTGGGAATTTTGCAGGATGGAGAAGCATCCAGTTGTTTTGTGTTACGCATTATGATGGGAGACCTTCTGAAATGCACAGTATGGTAATACAACAAATTCAAACAAAAAGATGTATGTAAATTTAAATGCATGCTTAAGTGCTGTGCTTTGAAGTGTGACCATTTTTAATACCAGTAGGTGGATTAACCAGACCTTTCCTTTCTGTTCATTTTTTTTGCAGAGATCATCCATTATTAAAATTAAAGAACATCATCATAACTCCTCACCTTGGCATAAAAACACACAAGACCACTCGCATGATAACAGAGGAAGCAGTTGCAAATCTACTGGCAGCTCTTAATGGTCTTCCAATGCCCAGTGAAGTGCTTCCTGACTGACATATTTAAAAGGATGTCACAACTATAAAATAATATTATTCTGTAACAGTTGGAATGCAATCTTGTTACTAGAAATATGTGAAACTCTTCCTTTTACTTGAACTCAAAGCCAGTTGTGATTTTTTGGTTGTACACATACATACAGCTGTGAATGATTTGTATATGTTACTGTCTCAGGTGGATAAAAACATTAAGTAGATCTGTGACAGCAGTTTGCTGATGATGATTGCTAGTGTATATGCAGTACAAAATAAATATGTTCTCTCAGGAAAGTTAAATGAGACAATCACATTGTATTTTTCAATATGTTAAAAAGCCTACTTTCAGCTGTGGTGAACATGTCTGACCTTGTTGAATCCCTTCTTGGTTTATCATTGTGCAGTGATTTTTTTTAAATACAAGAGACCACCAAACCAAATTTAACACTTTCTAAATTTTAAAGCCTTCAAAATCTATATCCCAGAAAACTTTAATGACCATTTTAAGTCATGTTGCACAATATTTAGACAAGATAACATTTTGCAAATTGTGTTGATTTTGGAGACTTTTAGAAATAGTATTTCCCTTTAAGACAGAAAACAAAAAAATAATGCCTTCTAAATATAAAAATAGATTTTCTATCAAATTTTATAAGTCATCCCTTAAATGTTCCCTGAAACTTAGTGGCCAGCTAGGGGCTGTGCTGTTCTTGACCTGCTGCCCACAAACAGGGAAGAATTGGTAAGAAATGTACTAGTAGCTGGCAATTTGGGCAGCAGTGACCACGAGATGATTGAGTTCAGTATCTAGAGGAAAGGAAGGATGGAAAGCAACAAAGTAAGGACACTGGACTTCAGAAAAGCAGATTTCAACTTGCTCAGGGAACTCATGGGCAGGATCCCCTGGGAAGTCAGTCTGAGGGGAAGAGGAGTCCAGGAGAGCTGGCTGTACTTCAAAGAAGCCTTACTGGGAGTGTGGGAACAAACCATCTTGATGGGCAGAAAGACTAGCAAGTATGGCAGAAGACTAGCTTGGCTTAGCGGGGAACCAAATCACAAAACGGAAGCTTGTAAGTGGAAACTTCGACAAGCAACTAGGGAGGAGTATAAGAGCATTGCTTGGGCATGCAGGGATGAAGTCAGGAAGGCCAAAGCTCAACTGGAGTTGCAGCTAGCAAGGGACATGAAGGGTAACAAGAAGGGTTTCTCCAAGTATGTCAGTAACAAGAGAAAGATCAGGGAAACTGTGGGTTCCTTACTGAATGGGGGGAAGGGCAAACTTGTGATAGAGGATGCAGAAAAGGCTGAAGTGTTCAATGCCTTTTTCATCTCAGTTGTCACAGGCAAGGTAAGCTCCAGACAGCACAGTCTGGGGAAGAGGGGAGCAGCCAACAGTGATGAAAACAGGTTAGGAACTATTTAGTACAAGCTTATGGGGCCTGATGGGATGCACCCAAGGGTGCTGAGGGAGTTGGCTGATGTGATTGCAGAGCCATCGGCTATCATCTTTGAAAACTCATGGCTATCAGGAGAGGTCCTGGATGATTGAAAAAGGGCAAGCATAGTGCCCATATTTAAGAAAGGGAAAAGAGGAGTCAGGGAACTATAAACCAGTCAGCCTCACATAAGTCCCTAGAAAAATCATGAAGCAGACCCTCAATGAAGCACCCTCATTGAGCTGGGTCATAGCAGCCCTGGACTGGCAGGATGGCCCCCAGAGCTCCCTGCCAGCCAGTGCTGCTCTACTCTGGATCCACATGCTGTGGCCCCGGGCACGTGTGAAGACGCTGCACCCAGGAGCAATAAACTCTGGTGCAAACTGTGGTGAAGTTTATTTAGCCAGGCTAATTTCATGTGTTGATGGGCTCATAGTGTAACAGAGAGGACATAAGTCTCTCCAATTTGATCAGAACCTCTCTTATTTTAGTGTGTAATAATCTTAATAATTCTGCTATGAAATTAAATTAAATTAAAAGGCTGTGCACAGTTCTGCCTAGTACCTTAGCATTTACTCAGCTCACCACAGGGGAGTTTGAATGGTATATGCCTTATTTTGGTGCTTGCCATACATAATTCCACTTCTCAGCAGGGTTAATTAATCTGGGTGAAGCATTGTGCAAAAACTGCTGTACTGCTTCCAGTTCAGGAGCTAGCACAATCAGAGTTATTTCAGGCACATCTGCATAGAGCTGCCTTATACCATTGGTCTAAATGGCACCAAACTTGCCTGGAACCCTGGGCCAGATCCAGGCTGCAGGGCTTCTTGTGGGCTGGATCTGGCTGCTGTGGCCACTAGAGCAGTGGTTGCAGTGGTGACAGTGGCAGCAACCACCACAGCTACACAATGACCACTGTGGCAGGAGGAGGAGTGGCTAGTGCAGCAGCACCAGTGGTGGCAATGGAGTAAGGGTCAGTGGGCCAGGCAATTAACTGTAAATATGGCACCTCATTTAGACTTACTCTCTAAATAATGTCAGGATGCCTGTAATCTCAGCCAGTCCTCTCTAAGAAACCTGTTTGAAATGAGTTGCATCACAGCAGTTCTCTTTGGTTACTCCTTTGTGATTTACAGGGTGTGTCTACATGTGCATTATATACAGGAGCAGCTTACTCACAAGTAAACTACTTGCGAGTAAATGCTCCCAGGCATGTCTACACATGTTGGAGCAGTAAACTGCTCTCACTTCCTGGGGCCCTGCAATGGGCCCCTGCCACCACTAGGGGGAGCTCTGGAGAGACTCTTCCAGGCTCAGCTCCACCAGAGCTGAGTGGGGAACAGGCTGGGGAGCTGAGTGCAGTCATGTTTAATACATTCATAGCTCTTTCTCAGCTAAGACCTGGGGGTTACTACCATCTCTCTCAGCCAAGAAATTCTTACCATTCTACTCAATATATTGACATAATCTTGATTTACCATGTATGAAGCAGGCAAATAAATGAGTTTATGGCACTGAATGCCCTGAGAGACAAAAACTTCACATTTTTTCAAATGGAGTGTGTTCTCTCTCTCTCGCATTGTCAGTGGGCAGCCTAGGTTTCCACTCCTGTACCTTATCCATAGAAAATGGATAACATCTGTTATCTGTTCAACATCTTCATCAGTGAAAGGATCCAGAGCATGCCATGACAAGAAATGCAAAACCTGCCAACACATCTCCACCACCCCCACAATTATCACACCCCACGACAGAGTCATCAGCATTCCTGGATCTTACAGCTGCACCTCCAGAAATGTAATATATCTCATCCAATGCACCAAATGCCCTGATGCAAAATACGTAGGAGAGACCAAACAACAGCAGCACACCAGAATGAATGCACACCGGAAATCTATCAAAGACAGGAATACCCAGTTACCTGTGGAGGCACATTTCTCACAAGAAAACCACTCTCTCTCCAATCTCTCGGTCCTGATCCTCAAAGGAAACTTACAAAACACTTCCCAGAGACAAGCCTATGAACTCCACTTCATCAACCTCCTGGATACGAGAAATCATGGACTAAATATAGACATTGGATTTATGATACATTATAACCTGCCTGACATCTGACTCCCTAGGTATCTCTCCACTATTCATCCCCCTTCTCTCTCTTTCCGCCCCCACCTCCCCCCCTGCCTGTCTCTCACCCATTGACTCCTCAATCTACATTTTCACTGACTACCTGTCTTGTATGCAGACCAACCCGGCCTCTGGCTTCTTTACTTTTCATTCCATCCAGGAAGAGCACACACCAACTGCTGAAACTTCCTTAGCCTGACGAAGGGTTTTTGAACCCGAAAGCTTGCTTAATAATTGTTTTCCAACTATTTAAGTTGGTCTAATAAAAGATATCAGATTCACGCAAAGAACCTTGTCTGCCTATGTCCTCAGACCAACACGGCTACAACCTACACCGCTGTATTCTAAGGCAGGGGTTTTTAACCTTTTTTGGTTGGTGTACCCCTGGCAGCTGGTCGAGAAGCAGGGAGTCCCCTGGCCAGTCAATGGGCCGGGGTGGAGGTGGGGAGGCAAAACCAGAAGCAAAACCGGAAGTGCCCCCACTTCTCTGCACCAATGCCACATACCCTCTGGGGCCTTCCCAAGTACCCCCTGGTTGACACCCGCTGTTCTAAGGTGTTTGAGTCTCTTCAGCTCCATCTGCAGGCTGACTGTGAAAATTGTAAGTGCTTTTAAATTTTTTCCAGGAACTATGCGTGTCTACAGATGTGTTCCATGCATGTTTTACAGTGAGGTAATTCAGAGCATCTTTTTATAACACTATAAAGTTACAGTGCTTCTAAACATGACAGAAGTGCAGTGTTTGGTAGAGAGGGCCTCTGAGCCTCCCTGCATTTTTCAGGCTAAGAAGCAGGGGGTACTCCACAGCCGCTTGGGGCAACAGGAGACTGTGGACAGCAGCAGACCAGTGGAGGAGGCAGAGTTGGGATAAGAGGCTGTCACTCAGCCTCTCATCCTACCCCTGCTTTCTCCCCCACCTCCCACGCTGGGAGCAGGCACAGCTTCTGCTACAGGCTGAGCAGCAGCTCTCACCTAGGCTGACAGTCCAACTCCAAGCATCTGGTCCTCAGCCATGAAGGGTCTCAGGGTGTGTGTGTGTGTCCCACTACTGGGAGTGGGCACCATGTTTGCCACAAGGCCAGCAGCAGCTCTTTCCTGTGCCTGCTTCAAGCCTGTGGTCCCCAGCCAGACAGGGGTTCAGGAGGAGGTGGCGGTGGGGCATATGTCTGTGTGGGGGAGAGTGTGTATGCATGTGTGTGTGTCTGTGGGTATGTGCATGTGGGTGTGTGCTGGCGAGCACTAACCAAGCTCACAAAGCCCATGGGATACTGGCAGAGTCACCAGAAATGTGACCAGCATATAGAAGTTAGGTTTAGGTTGGACATCAGGAGGCGATATTTCACGGTCAGGGCAGCTAGGGTCTGGAACCAACTTCCAAGGGAGGTGGTGCAGGCTCCTACCCTGGGGGTTTTTAAGAAGAGGTTAGATGAACACCTTGCTGGGGTCGTTTGACCCCAGTACTCTTTCCTGCCATGGCAGGGGGTCGGACTAGA